TAATTGTATGTATGGTTAAACAACTTTAATAGTAACACAGTCCTACTACATGTCTAAAATATTTAAACCTGCGATCAGCACCTGTTAAAAAAACAAAACAAAACAAAACCCGGTTGTTCTGAGCCAACTCCAACACCAGGTTTGTCTGATGTCTGCAGGACCAGGTTTGTACCCAACCTCTCACTGCATGTAAAGAGGCCCCAGATACATCAACATTTTTTTAGTCTTCATTATACACACCTGAGTGGTGTTCTGCTAAAGCTGCTCGCCTACCCCCAGTTTATTATTCCTTTACTCTTCCCAAATAATGACAATTCAATTACATGCGAACTGATGTAGGTTAAAATGTACTTCAATTGACCCACGTTAGTTAAAACACGTACAACTTCCTCCCTTCTCACAGCACAGGTTCTCCACTGCATCAGAGTCAGAAGAGAATTTGTTATTCCTTCCGATGATAGATGTAATCAAAAGAAACCACAATATCACAATAAATTATGGAGAAAGTTGTTGCAAAAAAGTTCAGCATTGAAAGTAGGATTTTATCATTTGGGCCAAATCAAGATTCAGATTTTACTGTGCACTTAATACTATGGCAGTGCCTCAATTCAGACAGTGCAGCTGTACATTTGGTTGCCACCTCTTTTCTCAACTGGAGCATCTCCTTTAACCTCACAAGCATGTAAAAGGTACCTAAAGTTCTCATCCTTATCCTTCCTACTCATTATTCAACATTTGCTTTACTCCACAAGCACAGTTAAGCCAGCTACAACATGTGTTGCCTACAGAACAGAAAGATTAACCGGAGATTCAGTTAGCGCAAACCTATTTTCTGTATTATGTGAAATTCCAACCTGTGCATACAATTACCTAAATTATTGCACTCTAGGAAAATTTCCATTTGGCACTTATCCGGGACCAGCTTCCAGCACCGACAAAACAGCAATACATCTTCCACTTGTTGCACCAAAAGAAGGGAGCCAGAGACTATACCACCTTATCTAAATGTGCAAGTGATATAAAGGAAGTCCCAGAGACCAAGCTATCAGTCGCAACAACAAAAGCTGAGTGATACGCCCCATAAGCTGTCCCCCTTAAAAAAAGGAGCTGCAAGGGTTAAATGATGCCAGTCCTATGCTTCCTGTTATTGATAAAGTCTCTGCTCCTACTAAGGGGGGAGGAACTGCATGTACTGACCACACAGATCATTCAGCCCTTATCTGGACAGGAGGGGACTGTCATCACTCAAAATTTGGGACCCATAAACAGGGGGTAATCTATGGGACTGGTTATATTCCCTAAATCCAAAACAGCAGTTGGGCATGTTGCAGGAGCAGGGGGATGCACATGCCTGCTTTTACAGGCTTCCTGCAGCATCACGAAGAACAACACTCCTCTAGGGCGCGTTCCGGGCCAGTGTCTCCTCACAACGCTCAGAGCTCTGGCGCAGCATCTGGCACCCAGCACGTGCCAGGCCCCGCACCATAGGATCTAAAACAGAAAAGATATCGCAGATCCTCCAGCCTGCAAGTTTAGCGAGAGGACCTTCCAGCCCTCCCGCTCAGGGACAGAGCCACCCCTCCACCCCTGCCACACGCCAAGAACTGGGCATTTGAGTATCTTGCACACACGGGTGCCACTCAGCATGCGCGCGTGCACACACACACGCACGCACACGAAGCCCCTGGTGTAGCAGAGGGGCTGACACCCGAAAAGGAGGTTGGGACTTGGCAAGAAAGGGAACGGCCTCATCTTCAGCCTCTCAAACAGCCCAGGCAACCCACAGAAGTCACCCTCACACCTAGGTGGTGTAGTCAGTCTATAAGGGACACCTCCCCGCCCCTGCATTGAACCCTCAGGCCTTCCAGCCCCATCCGCAGACAGGGAGGGATGAGACCACCCCCCCAACCCCGGCTACAGCAGGGGCAAGCGCCCCTCACATGACCAGGGGAAACATCCACCCCTACGTCACCCCCGCGCAGGGGGGGTGGGCAAGGGGGGCTGCCTCTCCCTCACTCCCGGCAAGAGGCGGGGCGGAGCCACTCCCGGGGAGGGCGGGGAGAGGGACGGAAAAGTGGCAGCCGCCTCCCCCGATACCTCCCCTCCCCAGGGCCCTTTGTTGGCGGGGGGGCGACGCGGAGGCCGCAGCGCCCGCGTCAGGGCCAAACGGGCCCAGCCGTTGACGAGGGACAGGGGGTTAAGAGGAGCAACCGCCTCCCGGGATTAGAACGCCGTGACGTCACGGACTAACCCGCCAGCCCGGCCCGCGCCGCGCCGACCCTCCTCCGCGCCCGTCCGAGCCGCCGCCGCCGTCACCTGCTGCCGCTACTGCTGCCGCCGGCAGAGCGAGACGTGCCGACGTCACACGCCATGGGGAGGAGCGCGGAACGAGCCGTGGTGACGTGAGGGGGGTGGTTACGCAGAAGCCCCATGCGCTCGCGTAGTTCTCCCCTCCACCGCGCCACAGTGAGGCTTCGCGGCTGCGTCACCAGGGCCGGGGCGGGACCAACCGCCACTCAGCCTCGAGCCGCCTTGAAGTGTGCGTTTGGGCCGCGGCCTGGGAGCGGGGAGGATGGTCGGGTTCTTGGGGTGCGGCAGTGGCTTTGCCCTGCGGGGCGGCTCGCAGTTAGAGTGCGTTACCCGGCGCCATAAGTGTATCGTGTGGCTGGGGCGGTGCCTGGTAGACACGCAACGTTGCCAACTGCCATGATTTTTGTCGTTGTGCTTAAAGTCTGTACTACGGGAATGTGAAAAACTTAGCTCTTTCATACATATATATGTACAAATACACACATATACACATGCATACACATACATATATACACACACAGTGAAGTACCCATTTTTCGCCTGGGGCATTATTTTTGTAATTGCAGTGTGCTTATTTTCAAACAACTTAGCACAACCTGTTTCGGTCAAAAATATTGTTTATTTTTTAAGGAACATAGCGCAACATACTGAATATTTAATGTGGAGCGGAAAAAAGGGCAAGCATCAACATAATAATGACAGTTGAACTGAATTCACTGCATCCAAAATGGAGTGGTAGCAGTTTGTGATCTGAGAAGCGACGTAATCCCAGTCAATGGAGACCCCAAAAAGGGTCAAGTGAAAAATAACCTGCCTGTAATTTTCCTCTGGTGGTATTGAGTGATTTTGAAAGGTTTGAACTGGATAGGTATAGCCATTCTCTTTTGCTAAATTCACACCCTTGCAGTTTTAGCTTTAACCTGGGCGGTTCTCCCATTTTTTTAGGGCATCCTGATGGGCAGCTCAATTTTTTTTTGTAGACCCACCCAAGAATCAAAGTGTAATTTGAACCCTGAAAATAGGGTTCTGTGCATTCACGTGCATACGGAGACGCACCCTGTAATGCCGTCTTTTCCTGAGCTCCTTTTCTTTAGCTTTGCTAGTATGTAGTCTAACCAGAAGTCCCACACACAGATTCTCAAATCGAGTGCCACAAGATCCTTTAAAGGGTGCCAAGAGGTGTGAGGAGATAAGCAGGCACAGGCTCAGGCTTGCCCCTGCCTGTCCAATCCCTTCCTTCCCCACCATTTCCTGGCCTCTCTGCAAGGAGGTAAACATTGTAGCATATATTAGGTTTTGAAATTGGGTGCCACTCAATTGACAAAAGTTCTGGAGGAGTGCCTTGAGTTCAAACCGGTTGAGATCCACTGCTGTACTCTACAGCTTTTCATTCAGTTGAGTATGGTGCTATTTATGAGCAGAGAGATTGGAAGCCATGTTAGTTTGCAGTCAGGCAGAAGGCAGGGGAGAGGTGAACCTTTTAGACCAGGGGTGGCCAACCTGTGGCACACCTGCCACTTGGGGCACATGGCAGATTGGGGAGGGGACAGGCAGCACAGTGGCACAGAGAGCAGAAAGCTGAGCAGCAAGATAGGTCTGGGGAAAGATACCAGAGTGGCTATCTGGGAAGGTTCAGGGCTAATTTGTGGCATGCCTGCCAAAAAGGTTGACCCCCCCTACTATTATAGACTAATTGAACTACTAAATATATAAGTTTTCATGAGCTGCAGCTCACTTCATCAGGTGGAGTGTGATGAACCAAGATACTATCTGATAAAAACAATCTCATAAAAGCTCACACATCTCTGATTCATTTAGTCTGTAAAGTGCACCTGTACCCTGCCTTCTTCTCGACTTCATACTGACATGGCTAATGACCTCGACTTTAATTAAAGTCACTTCTCAATTTTCTTTTAGAGAAACAGCAGGTTGGATTTTCTGTCTCTCCTATTTGTGGGCTTTTTCTCCAGACCTTGAGTTATTTTTGTGATTCTTTCCATAACCTCTCTTAATTTTTCAAAATATTTTAATGCATGGGCACTAGCTTTGCATGCAACATTCCAGTATCAGCCTCATGAGCACTTGACATAGAGTTAAATCACCTCTCTGCCCCTACCCACCTCTATAGTAATCCTAGTTTTTGTTAATAAGTATACTGAGGAACCCAAATGCTACAACAGTATACATTTTATGTAATAATAATGGTCAATAATGCAGCTGCAAAATGAAAATTAGAAGTATTATAAATTGTGCAGACTGAGTCCCTCTGTGCATCAAGTCCTCCCTTTTACTATCAGCAGTGTTGTCAACATTCACATTTTTACTGTGGTTTCACAATATCTGGTGATTTTCTGAGGCCCCAGATTCTGGAGTCAGGAGATGAGGTAACAACTCATCTTTCATTGTTCTAAAATAGGTACATTTCTAGCTGTCATGGTTTCAGGAAAAAAAAAAAGCTCGAAAAAATTACCTGAATCCCTGTTAAAGACCCAGGAACAAAATCTAAAGATATCTAATATGCTGTGTATGTGTGTGCATGATTATTTGGTGGGGGAGGCAAGGGTGGAGTTAAATCAACCTAAAGATAATTGGAAACCTGACTCATGATTTTTTAATGCTTGGAGTTAACAGCATCCTAGCAATCACAATACTGTGTTGACCTAGTGAGCATGTGTGTGTATTTGTTTCATCTCTGCTGGATGAGACAGTGAGCGCTCAGCCATGTGTCATTCCCCTCCCCCATTCCTGCACTGTTAACAGTAAAAGGAGATTTGCTTTTTGCTCATACTGTTTTTGCAGCTGACTAAAACAAGTCCTGCCACTACTGTTCTGGGTAGCCTCTCTGTCCAGGATACCAGTACAGTGACAAACAAGGAGATCGTAGTTGGCCACTGTTTAGCTATAGAATTTCATGTAAAAGATTAAGTGCAAAGCTGAATCTAAGGACCTTTAAGATATCAAGGAATTCTGTACTAAATCTGAATATTTCAGTCTCCATACTTAGTCTGAGGAACCCTGCACTTTGGAAATCTTCTGATCCAAACACTGTCTTTTCAGGTCATTTCTGTTTGTACATCTAAACCTTCCCCTATGCTAGAGAAATAATTCCCACTATGTCTAATGCTAATTCATCTGAACTGGTGACTAAGGGAAGCCCCAGCCACTTTTTGCCAGTTAGACTATATGTTTCAGCATATTTAACACTTATCAGTTCATCTGAACAAATTTCTCTCAAAATTTTTTGTCCAAAGGTACCCAAAAGCACTTTACCAACTGTTTGTATACAGTACCATTCATATACTGCCATATCTGTAGTGGAGGTCGGTCACACAATCAACATTTCAGCAAAAGTCAACCAGACTTCATTAGAATGGGTGTAGAATGCAGATGATATTCATATTGAGACAATGGAAATATAGGGAACTGTGTTTTGTCCTATTTTGTCGTGTATGACTGGGAAGTCTGTTGTACAAGCATCTTCTTTGCAACTAGTGGCTGAACCAATATAAAGAAATACTAATTTGGACAGCAAATAACCTGCCATAATACTGACTGTGACAGGATGGAAGTTATGAATTTGTATGCCCCTCACTTAGCAAATCTTGGCAAAACTGACCATTTAACAAAGATTACAAATATTTCTGAT